TCGCATTTATAATAATAAAAGGATTCCAAACTGTACTTATAAAGAATAACCAACTTCTCTATAAAAATAAATGGATAATTCTATAATAGACATTTCCTGTATTGAATTCCATTTTCCTTTGTATCACAAAGGCGACAAACAAGTTTACCGCCTGTTTGACGGACGCTGTAACCTATGGACGCCTGCAACAATAAGGATGTGGCAAGCAAGCATACAGCCCGTCTGATAGTAGTGGACGCCTCTAACATTGGCGATGATACGTACGCATTGCCGACCCTGAAGAAACCTTAATATACCCTTTTTGAAATACTGTAGTTCCAGAGACGTTAGCAGTGAGCTTATTCCTCAGTATGAGTGTATTAATTTTTCAATCGACTTAAAAAAAAGAGGATCTTATTTCGATGTTTGTTACCTCATAACTACATCGGTTTGAAACCTATTTAGATTTTTTTGTATCTGAAAATATATACTTACAGATTTGTCCTAAAAATTTTAACAAAATCGGTTGAGTAGTTTTGTTTATAAAAAAAGACTTTTTTTTAAATATTTGGTCAAGTTTATTTGTGGAACACAAATTTATGGCAATAAAGTGTCATTTGTAATTTTTTTTATTTTAATATTTTAACAGTTTGCCTGCAGGTTATGTTTTTGTATCTATGCACATATTTCTAATCCTTACTTAAAACTACGGTAGTTTCAAGTAAAGATTAGAAGTTCTGCCAACTTATATTAAAAATATGTATGCTACTAGATATATATTTTTTTTATGCAACTTGGAATGGTAAACAAGCTAACATTCTCCTGATGGAAAGCGATAACCGTCACCTATAGACATGAGCAGTACCATGGATATAACAGAGTATATTGTTTCGTCCATGATACCCCCCATGCGTTGCTATTCCTGAAGACTCAAGTGTTATTTCTCTGTACACTGTAAATTCACTGTCATATCCCACCCTTCAACTGTCAATTGTCACTTTACTGCTCTTAAGGGTAACATAGTTATTATAAAAATCATCGAAGTATAATCTTTTTTTTTTTATACAACTTAGAATGGCAAACATGCTGACGGCCACCCGATGGGAAGTGGTAACCGTCGCCTATAGACATGAGCAGTACCATAGACATAACAGAGTATACTGTTTCGCCCATGATTACCCCCGTGCGTTGCCATTCCTGAGAACTCAGGTGCTATTCCTCTGTACCCAGTAAATTCACGCTATATCCCACCCTTCGAACCGAAACACAGCCATGCAAACACAACTGCTTCACGGTTGAAATACGAATGGGTATATTGTAGGTAGCTGTAGAATCTTATACTTGCAAATACATTCGGCGTCACTGCAAGCCTCCAACACAGTAGCTCGTCTTTGAATTTGAAATTTATGTATATACACGTAAGTTATATTTTTTTTGTGTTTAAAAGCTATGAAATTATTATGAAAGTAATTAGTAAGTAGATTTGTAATATTTATTTTACAACAACAACATACAATTTAGAATGGCAAACAAAACAAACATTCTTATAACTATAAGAAAATCCATAATAATAAATATAATAATAGTCCCGTGTGGTCCCGGTATAGAATAGGCCACCCCTTCCTTTCCCGAGGGTGTAGTAAAAACCGACTAAGGAAGGGCGAGAGATGTCTAGCAGCGTTCCTCTTAAAACATCTCTAAAGCCTGACTGCGGTTGCCAATCCGCCTGCCAAGCGTAGCAATTACTGGCATAATCCAGAAATCAAGAAAACAACTGAACTTATGTTCAGCAGTGGACAGTTAAAGGCTGATATGACGGTGATGATGATGATATAATATAATTATATTTTCTCAAACATGCTTGGAAATGTGAGCATTATTTTGACAATCTTCTTCGAGATAAATCAAATTGCCGTACTGGTCAGATACATGCGGGCAGCGGCTGGCAAAAGTTGTATGAAAATCCATATCTGTCGTGTTTTGCGGTCAGATAAATGACTATGTAAATTCATATCTGTCCTGTAATTTAAAAATGGAATGACATCGAAACATGGCTACCAGGGAGGTAACTAATAAAAGGTTTTATTTAAATTTCGAACTGGCTTGCAAATAGAAAGCTGTTTATTGAAAAAAACAAAGGAACATTATGGCGCGTGAAAAAATATTATTGTTCGTTATTCGTCATTGAACTTAAAAAGTAAAATTGTGTTTTTGATTTCCGCGCATTGTTTGAGAAAAGTACTATACAAACCTTGGCCACAACTAGGCATTGATGGACTCACGAATGTGTGCCTCGGCTACGCCTCGGCCCACATTTGCATGTTCGTCCATCAATGCCTCAGTTGCTGGCGGCTGCACTAATGTTCTATAGTTAAAGAATTGAAAATTTTCTAAGATAAGACCATTTTAAGTTTCAAGGAGAATAATTGCTACATTTTTATATCCTTCAGTAAGTAGTCCCTTTCTATTTACTTATAGTGATTTAAATTGATGAAAGTAAATTATGAAAAATTATATATATTTTATATTAGCCGTTACATTTTATATGTTTACTGTTGAACATAAGCCTCCCCATAAGCGAGAGCCATTATATATTATATTTAACTAGCTGACCCGGCGAACTTCGTTCCGCCTAACAGTCGATTCTGGGGCAAAGAGATTGTTAGTAATGGAGTCAAATAGACCCATTACTAACAATATACCCTGTAGACTTCCACGTGGTTCCCCCTGGAAACCATCGTGGTTAATTTCTAGTTGAATTCGTCAGGATGGGTTAACTGACCTGCATTCATCCTCATCTGTCAACTCTCACTGGTGCCCCGCCAGTGTATTATATTTTCTAAAGGTTTATTGTTTTCTTTTTTTTATTGCATTTGTTTGTAATTTTGTTTGCATTGTATTTTTGTATTATTATAATTATTTTAATAATATTATTTATTTTAATAATAATATAAATATTAGTTTAATTTTTTTTATGTTAATTTTATTTTTATATGCGACACAAATGTAATATTTAACATTTTAAAATTAAACGTAGTTAGTAATAAATTAAATATTTATATGAATTTTAGTGTAATATGTAACTACCGGTTTAAATTACGTCTAATTAGATCGAAGAAGCTGGACTAGTTTCGGAATCAATTCGTGATCCTCAGTCATAAGCGGCTGTGATACGAGCGCAAGCCTGACTGAGTTATTGTATTAAAATTATGTGTGCTTATGAAACTTATAATAATAACATATTTAAATGACCCCTCAGTTATTGTTTACGAATAAATTAATGAGTAAATACAGATGAAATGTCTGTCAGAAGCTAATCGAATTCCAAACACCTAAACATCACACAAATGGGTCCATTAATTCTAAATCAAATGTCATGTTACCGTCTTAAATCAAAAAGAGCACAATCCCAAACACCTTGGTAAGAAATCACACTCCAGCAAATTGCATAACATACTTACCCCTACTTTAAAATTGAGCCATAAATAAAAGGTAGGTAGGAGCCGCACCTTATCGCTTCTAGAGCCACAACAAATGAAAGAATACCACCCTGCGCCCCATCCCCTGAAGAATATAGCCCTCTCCCTCCCACGAGCTTGTCTCTTTCTAACATCGAACGGTGAAACGGTGTTTTACATTTATAACTACAAGCCACATTCGCGGACGACGCCACAGGATCGTTCCAAGGATGTTTCTATCTGAATTGAACTTTATTTTTGTGCAGTTACAGTTACTTTTCGAATATAAAGTGGGTGGGCGAATTTCTGCGTTGCCAAGACAACGGGGGGCGAGCGTCGCGATTTTTGCCCGGCTGCTTTCGATTACCTACGGAGGTTTTTCTGATCACTCTCAATGTGAAAGTATCTATGTATAATGTAGGTTCGTTCGATAAAATGTTGGGACGAATAAATTGAGGAAGGTGGTTCCAATCTTGAATTCAGAATGTTTTCTTGACAGCCCTGGAATGATAGTGCGGAAATATTGCCAGATACTTTTCTGTTTTCATACTTGGATATCTTTTTGTTTTTTAACTAGATATGAAATATTATAATAGTCTATTATGTTTTTCAACAATTGTTTCATGTTATTGACTTCTTAATTGAATAATAATTTACTTAACATATTTATACCTACCTCGATCGGCAAAGTAAGTTTGAAGCGTCATATGAATGAGTTTAAAATGTATTTTATTTAAAACGCTTGCTAAATTTAATTACGTGCCTACTTATGAATTATGTAGATTATTTGTGATATATTCTCGTGTCATTCTACATACATAATTAATAGGCACATTACTGTGAGTGAAAGATGAGAGATATAAATTTTAGTTCGTGAATTATCAAAACAAAAAAGAGTTCCAAGAAGCTCTATAATTAATATTTATATTAGTTACAGCAGAATCTCGATTATCCGAACAACGATTACTCAAATATTTAATTATCCGGACTTATTTTTACGGCTCTAATTATCAATTTAGAACTAGTATTATGTGTTTTTTAGAACTAGTATTGAATAAACAGGTATTATGTAATCCATTATCTTGATAGCTCATAATTTTTATATCGTATTGTCTAAATAACGTATGTAAAGTCCTTTACATAATAAAAATAAAATAATTAATTACGTTTTGTTTGAATTGTCTTTGAAATCGATTATCCGGATTTTCGATTATACGGAATACCCCTGGTTTTATTTGAGTCGAATAATCGAGATTTTACTGTACATAATCGAATATTAATTAAGAGTTTTAAATTTTTCCGTGAACAACGTCTTTCAGTGTTGAATTTTGCATTTGTTCAAAAAAGACAATGACTTATAAATCTAATATTTACTTATTGCACTGCGTAAAATATTTTTTTATGACAATTCGACAAAGCCGTTATGGGATTTCTTTTGGGGCAATGATAGTAATTATTGTAGGTACATTGATAAATGGTATCTGAATAATAAATTCATGCTAATTTAATTGTATGTAGTTATCAGGTAAATAAAACATATCGTTACTTTTTACTAACCGTTTATTCCAACCACATTATGTAGATTTTCCACGCTCATATTCTTATATTACGAGATAGGTATCGAATAGGTTCTTTTTAGAAATTTTATACTATTTCCTTTGCATTTTGGTGGATGTGTATACAGTTGGTTTCAAGCGTACCTATTTTGTGTTTGTGCAGTTTTAAGCGAAGTTCGTTATTTTTAAAGCTCGTTGACTATTTTTATTTATATTTCAGTAAACTAAGGCGCTTATATACACATTGATGGTATTTTATATATATAAAATTTTATTATGGAAGATCTTTTATTTTTATTTTAAATTACAATCGAATTTATTGTAAATTAATAACAATTATACATCATTTCACAGTCCCTATCTTATTTTCGCCAAAATACATAATTTAGCGACATGTGTTTTAAATAAACATGTTGTTTTATATATGTATTACAATAAATATAAATAAATTAATGCATGTGATGTAAATTAGAATGAAAATAAAGAAATTTCTAGATATATAATATCTAATAATATTCTATAATTAATTTAGTATTTTACGAAATAGAATGTCTCTTACTTTAAAAAAAATAAGTAGGAGACCTACAAATGGTGCATAAAATACAATAAATTAATAAATAAGTCATCAAAACCACGTAGTTCATAATTGACAAAAATATCGGATAACAATTAAATATAAAATTTATTAGAACTGAGAATACTCTTTTCAAGTCGGTTCAAAACTGTAGATTTTTATAAAGAACATCTCTCACGATAGATTCTGTTGTGTGTGTAAGCGCCATAGTTTATTCATACATTTCCATACAACTTGTTAGTACAAAGTCAAACTTGCTTTAGGCAACAAGAAACTAAATTAAAACAAAACAAAACACTATGATTGTAATTTTCTTAATATAACAATTATAATACTTATGTTTTGAAATTAAGTTGAAGATCGGTTTAAAACAGATTTTTAGTGAAAAATTGTTGCATTCCTAAATTGAGCGATTTCTATCGAATTACTGGTTCGGAATTTCAGTACATCAAACTTTGTTATTGTAAAGTTTAGATGTAGCATCAACATGATAAGCTAAATACACAAAAAAAAATGAAAATAAATTCAAAGTAATCACTTAGCAACTTGGTGGCTGTTCAGTTGATCTGTTTATAAATACTGTTAATTTGGCAACTTTTTAATTGGCAAAATGAATTGGCATTCCTAAAACCAATATCCATACCGGTATCCAAATATAAACAAATGTATCGAGAATGAGATCCATTATCCCCTAAAAGTTGCGATCTTCATTGTAAATCTATATCTAGAGCGATAAAATTTAAGTAAAACCAAATAGCCATACTTTGCTGAGATCAAATATCATATATATTTGTTCTCCTTTTTTGAAATTATTTTATTCTTTAACCGTTCGTTTTTAATTATCTAATTCAATTTTAATAGTATGACTATTAAAATTGATTATTATATTGAATTCATCATTAGCAACAATAATGACAATAATAATTTATATTTAAATAACAAAGTGCATAGTCGAAATTATCTCTTGGAGTGGTTTGTTTTCAGCCAACATTTTTTTGAAATTTCTTATCCAGGTGTAAGTAGCTATGTTTTTTTTTCGTAATATTTTATCGCTTTAGACACATTTATTATATAAACATAATAATATATTGTGTAAAAACCTTCGATTTTATATATTTATTTTATTAAATATTACATGAATGTTTCTTAGTCTAAAGCAAGTTTGCCTGTCCACGGTTCAATACCCAGCGTGGTTGAGCCTACTCATAGTTTACATTAGTCGTTAAATTCGTTTAAATAATTATATACAATTTATCACTTATAATTTACAATATTATTTATACATATTGCGTACGCCATTCTAGCGTCAACTTCAAAACATTTCCAGACGTTTAATGCCACTACTGTTTATTTACAATTACATTTTAAATCAAATATGAAAATTATATTTACAAATTATAAAATTATGTAAGCAAGCATTCGTTTTGACAACACTGGTATCATAAATTACACATATAGATAGTTAACTACTATAATTCAGTATAATTCCTATGATTTCTCAAGAGGTTTTTGTAAAAAATATTGTAAAATTGTTAAACAATGCCAAATTATTACGCTATTAAGATCAAACAGTCTCTAGAATACAAAAGCTTATCTAAAGATGTTAACTACATAATATTTAGAAAATAACGCAATGACTACACGATAGGAAATTGGCACCGGGGAGTTTAATGTCATAATTTACAATATTATACTTAATTACCTCACATAATACACATATTGGTATAATGTAAAATCTAATTATAATAAATTACTTATTATGTATCACATGACTACTTATAGTGTAACTATTTACAGATTAAATAAAAATCTACAAACAACCTGATGTATTCACATTATTTAGAAGTGATAGTACGCGAAGTTTATAGGCTGTTGAACGGTATCATCGTTCTCGTTGTTTAATCCGTCCTGTTCACTTTCTACCTCACTAGTGCCGGCTAATTCTCGTTCGTTCTCAACCATGCCCTGTTCGAACTTACTAGAAGCCCTAACTTGCCAATTGGATAAGTCACACGGCGCGTCGTCATTATTAGATTCCTTACAAAATGTTCTCGGCACTACATAATCAGGATATACACCGCCGAAGTTCAAATAATAACCGTTAGTATCGCTACGTTCACTATTCGCCGAGAATTTAGTATCGTTAGTTGGATTTCTCGTGTAATTCGTTTGGAACTTGTCGTCTTTGTAATTGAACGTTTTGTAGTCCCTCCCGTAGTCTTCGAAGCTACGGGTACCTACGCTATTCTCAGAGTCTACCTCTAGTTCTTTCACGTCACTGTTCTCACTGGCACTGGTTTTGAGGGTTCCCTCACCAGCGCCGGTTGGGTCGGATCACTGGCGGTGGTGCGGTAACTGGTGGTGAGGGATGTGCTGGTGATGAAGGTCGAGCCGCGGCCGCTTGGCGTCGTCGTCGTCGCTGCAGGGGTCGTTGTCGTGGGGCTCTTGGTCGTCGCATTCTTCGCCGAGCTCCTCTTGTTTGCGTTTCGCCGTCGCCATTTCGGCGGCGTGCTTTTTCCGCCATTTCGTTCTTCTGTTTTGGAACCATACCTGTGGAAAAAAGAAGAATTTGTATTTTTTTTTATAATTAGACGTGCATACTATTTATGCCACATCAAAATGAGGTACTCAATTCGTCTTAATTTCTTTTAGAGCTTGTTTGTAGGTGTGTGTTACGCGATGATTTCTTTAATTTTAAATCTATTTTTGATAGTTCTTTTAGCAATAGTTCGATAATATTTTGCAACAGAGTTTTCATTCATATTGGTCACATATTGATTTCGTCACGAATTGAAGTCGATGTTTTGTTACCTTCAATTATTTTTATTAAAATATATTTATATAGAAAATATATGTTAGCATCTTTACATTTAGTATACCAATATTTTATTATATTTGTATCATAACATAACTGTCGTCAAGTGCCACCGTTGCTGATTTGATTTAACTACAAAATGGTGATTTGTCATTTCCGGAATAATTATTTACCCGCCAAAATAGTCAACATAAAAACTAGAAGTAACGACCAACAGTTGACAGTTGTTGATTGAGCATTGACCAGTAAAGACGTATAATTTGGTAAGTCGCTTTAATACAAATGTATTTTAATTGCAATGTTGTGGAACTGTTAATACATGAGTTGGATTCCCCTGTAATGATACGAGTTTTATTTCATAACCACCGAACTCTTAAATATAATCGTAGAAAATGAAACTTGACTCTCTATAATTTTAATAATTCCATATTATTCAGTCGATTTTAGTCAAACAAAGGTGTTACATGTTTGCTCGGGGTATTGCAAAGAGACATTATCTGAAAACACACCACTAAATTCACGGGCAATGTTTGCGTTACAGAAAGCCAAATATAAAGAGCGGGCAAACAATTTTCAGCGCCATGTGAACCTAATCTTCACGGGCGACATCATAATGCCTCATTAAACAGCGCCTTTTAAGTCGCAACACAAACTTATACTCGTCCCTTTCGCTCTTACCGGCTCTTCCTTAATCGGATAAGGACGGCGATAGTAGCCATGTTCTCCGGTAATTAAGGGTCGTTTTGCAAATTACACGGTACTTAACCAGCCATATAACGCTCATTAATCACCGGGCGAGGGTGTCTTGCGTCTCGTTCGGGCGCGAACAGCCCGCTTATGTCTGTCCCGCTCGCACGGGCTGTCGGGCGGTAGACAGGAGTTTAATTAGGTCATAAATACATTTTCATGATTAGAGTGGAGCCTTGAGATGGAGAGCGTCGATTCCGCTGAATATTCGGCCTGCGATTACTTGGGAGCAGATGTCGATGTTATTATAAAGGTATCCTGGAGGTTAAAATTAGGTCTTCAGCCGACCTCGTTATGTTAATGGCGTTAAGACTTAATGGGACACGCTTTTGATACTTTTACCGACTTCCCTTTAAATGTAAAAACTTTTTAATTGAATCGTTGATTAATAAATTTAGTAGACAATTTGCAAATAACAATTACAAAGTGTTTAATCTTTGCTAATGTTATAAATTTAAAAGTGACTTTCTTTGTTACTTCTTTTATTTTAACTTAGATTAAAGTATTTCTGAGTAGTTATTTTTTTTATAATAGCCTATTCGGAACGCAATTTCAGCCAAGAAGAATGGGCAAGAAACTTAGCTATTTTTTTAGTTTTTTTTTCAAAAAGTTTAACTATACAAATAATGAATTTGTGTGAATATAAACTACTAAGCAGCATCAGATTATAAAAAAGCTTCTTAAAGCCTTATGACTCAACCATCAGTTTAATACACTGCAATCTTTCAACAGTTACGCATTTAAACCGCGTACAATACAAAGCAAACGTTTAGATATATTTTATTTATGTCCATTTGTTCTGAACTAGATATTTTCTATGTATAATAATTAGGTGTGTATTTATAAAAAAGTAAGTCATCAGTCCATCAGTCTGTTTTATTAATAGACTTCAAAAAGAAGGAGGTTATCAGTTCGGTTGTATTTTTTTTTTTATGTTTGTTACCTCATAATTCCGTCAGTTCTAAACCGTTTTGGAAAAATCTTTTTTATCTAAAAGAATATATTTACAAATTGGTTACATAGAAATTTTATCAAAATCGGTTTAAATAGTTTAATTTCTAGACAAAAATAACTGATGTCGGTTTTTTTATGGGATACGATGTTTGAAAATGAATAAGATGGATGGATAAACAAATACTAAACGACTCGTTTGGCAGTTAGAATCATTTAAAAATAAAGATATTGACTCTCATTTGTGATAAAATATTTTCAAAAAAATATATCACTGTGTTTAGTCTCAATTGGCACTATAATAATGCGGTTGGCGTACTAACAAAATCCCTTATTCTGATGTTGAATACAAGACATAAGTGTTGTTGTGGTCGTCAGTTCGGAGGCATTGTATAACAACGGGCCCATAACGAGACGTTGTAAATATAGCTTTATTAAAATTTAGGTGTACAGCTAAGTGGCAAGCGGTAGCGGAAGCGGGAGCGGAATATATTTTTTCACAAAAATAAAATTAATTAAGAATTTGCGTAAAAAAAATCCTGTGTATTAAATTATGTTAAAACATGTGGTTCAAAAAATTGTAACATGAAACTAAATAAATAATAGAATTTTTTTTAAACACCAATCACATTACGTAGGTACTATTTTTATGCAACTTAAAATGGCAAGAAATTGGTGGAACCGTTGCATATAGACAAGAATAGCATTATGGATATCAAACGTCCCTATAAATGCAGCATAATTGGCAAGTACCTACACATTGAGTATTACTATGTTGGTACTGTTTATGTGTATAAACTACAGTTAGCTTTTGAAACATTTTTAAGTTTCTAATTGTCAATGTCAATTTTATTTAATTTTATGTGTTATTTGATAAAATTGGCGTTTGAAAACCAATATCGATTTATTCATAGCTCACATAATTTGTGGGTGTTAATGCGTCTTTTAAATTACATTATGTCGCTGACCGCTTCGATATGGTATTTGAGTCAAATATATTTTTAATTTATGAACTAGTCTCTATGCTATTGATTTATGTTAGCCGGTTACCAGTAGAGATAATAGGTGAAAACGAAGTCAATTATCATCGCGTTTCAAGGTCTATCCATCCGTATATAACCAAGATAGCTTCCATAATGATGACATGTCACCCTCCTGGTAAGGGTATATTGCTAGAAATAGAGACTTCTCTCTATTAAAACATATTTTTTCGAAGTTACTGGTTCATACTGGCAGCATACCAATGAGAAATGATAGGTATATGTGAAGTCAGAAGTGATCACTAAGAGTTAACAATAAGTGTTGTTATATAAACAATTTAAATATATAAATAAATTTTCGATATCCGCCATATACCGCACTATAACCTCACCCGCATCCAAGGGATTAGTGTTGTAACAACGCCTTGTAACGATATTTTGATGGCTTCTGGCAACTTGGCGTGTTTATTAATTAGACCCTTTATGAAATGTTGGATTCCGTGCAATGTCATAAATACTTCAGAAGCTGGTATTCCAGCTAACGTGGCTTTATGGCACTCAATGGCGTTTTAAGGTGTTGTTGGATGTCTTACGATTTAATGTCCTTAATAATATACCGGATTATTGTTATAAAAGTGGTTTCTTTATGAGGTATTATTGTAATAAATATACTGCAGTGAATTTAAATAATTAAAATAATTTCTTATTTCCTTATAACAATAATTAATATTATTAAGTAAAAGTAGTAGTATCCCGCGGCTTTGCCTGCGTAAATTACGTTTAAAAGTAATAATGTAATTAAATAGTAGTAATGATAAATATAAATACATTAATTCATATTTATGTCCATCTATATATTGAATGTTATGTCCATGGTACTGTTCATGTCTATATGGTCATCAGGTGGGCCGTTAGCTTGTTTGCCATTCTAAGTTGCATAAAATAAAATAAATAAATAAATTCGTTCAATTATTAAGGCACTAATGAGTACCTAATAGACATCTGAAACATGTTTAGAAACTTGTACATCTTACTAATATTACGAATGTCTAGTGATTTCATATCCAGTCAACAATGCGTGTATGTATGTCCATTATTATGTATAACAATAATAGTATGTTCATAGTTAATTTATTTACTTAGTACATTTTACTATAAAGATTTTTTTTTTTTTCATAAAAACAAAACTTTTAATAAACTTAGCAAACATGGGCCTGATTGTTAACCTACGAGTGATTTGAAAAAGAAAATCGTAATTATCAAATTGGCATATGCCCTCCTTTTTTTAAGTTTATTGATAAAGAAAGTTGTTGGGAAGTCGCAGACGCGACCTTAGCAGTCCCGGCCTCTTAATATTTATTATTAATCTTGTAAAAATAAATCTGCCAACTCGATATACACTACATGGCAATAAAAAGTCCCGAGCGTGAACAAAACACGTCGTCGTAGACTTACATTATGATTGGTCCATTTGCTTTTATTGTGGAAAACTTGATGTGCTAAACGACTATTGTCTTTTCTTTTTTTTTACGATACAGAATAGAAGTTTTAATATATGATTTTAGACCTACTATTTTATAATTTAAGATTACAATTGATTTTTCACTGCTCTACTCTATCTATAAACGAAAATATATAAATAGAAACATGGCAATAAAAAAACTAGGATGTTATAAATTTAATTATACATAAGTTAAACCGGTAGTTGTTACATTAAAATATAATGTATACTTACGAAAATTTTAACAATAAAGTTATAAATTTAGTTTTAAATTCTACTTCCCACTTATTATAAATGTGAAAGTTTGTAAGAATATTAAGAGCATCGATAACGAAGTATGGCAACGTCGCAATTAAATGTCAACTATCAAAAATAATTGTACAATTTTTAATGCTTTCGATTGATTCTTCAAAAAAATGTTCTAATAGCGAACTAAACCATTAATCCTGTAATAATATTCTATTTTTTTTTATACCACAAAAGCGGCTAATTAGCTCGTCTGATAGTAAACGGTTATTATAGCTTAAGAACGCCTGAAAGACTAGGAATGTCATGT